TATATTTTTTGTCATATATATATATATAAAAAAAGAAGAAGAATTTACTGAAGTTAACGACACTTATTTATTTATTTTTTTTTTGGTGGGGGGTACATTTCGTCATGGTAAAGGATTTTAGACACGCGCACAAAATTTAGAATAATAGAATCGGTTGTATATATATATATATATGTAGCTTACTATGACGATTTTGTAAGAGTACACACTCTTAAACGTAGATCGTTACTGCCCAGTTTCCTGTTATATTCCCCCAACATTATATGACTCCCAGCAGTCCTACGGGCAGGATTTGATATAGGGAATTCACAATGGTCTCACAATGACTGGGCCAACGTTACGAATTAGGCTCGGTTACGCGTTTATTGCCGATTCCGGTCCAGGCCAAGTCAGAGGCGTCCTATCGAAATTTACGCGATCGTTTTGTCCCCCTCCCTCTTTATCCTGAATTAACGTGAATTACGTACACTATAGGAGAAACTACGACGACGCCAATGCGGAGATGCGAAGTATTAGCATTGGTTAGCTTTATGGGGCGTTCAGTTCCGCAATTTCATCTCTCTTTCTCTCATATATCCTTCCTTGTTTATCCGTTCTTCTATCTATCTATCTATATGTATATATGTATCTTCTATTTACTTACTTCATCTATTTTTATTCTATCTATATCTTTATATATAAAGATTCAGTATTACATTGTTAGTTTACAATGAACTTTGGACATAGTCAACTGGTATTATAGAATTTATTCAATTTTATTTATTAATATTATTTATTTAATTTATTAATACATTGTTTTTTATTTTGTGTAATTTATTTTTTTCAATTTAGGATAGTTTTCATCGCGTTTATTTTTTATTTTTTATCGCTAATTTAAAGATTTATTATTTATAGGTTATCTAGGTCTTTAGGTATTGGAATTTTACAATAGATGGCACTGTATTGCAATTCAATTATTTGATATATTCACGTCGTACATGTTTTTTTTTCAGAGTTACGTATGACATAATTAACCTTCCTTTTTATATTTTTTTGATGTATTATATTATTTTATGTATTCTATTCTACGTGTGATATTATTTTGTGTGTTGTTATAATTTACTAAATATATTATTTATTTATATTATAATAATTATTAAGAAATTTGTTCAAATTTATATATGGCATAACTAAAACCTTACTTTTTATATTTTTTCCTGTATTATTATTTTATGTGTTATTATACTTTACTAAATAGTTTATAACAAGCATCTCATCCCCCAATTTTATTTCTTTTAGTTTAGCAACCAATAGAGAAAAAGAGAGATCAATAATGTCTGACTGTTTTGAGAAATAATACGAAATTGAGTATAAGTTTTTTCTTTAGGGAACAAATAAATGTTTGGAAAAAGGAGTAAAACGGAACGATCTACTATCGTTTCTGATCTAGAGAGTCCAGGAAGTTGAACGTTTGTGGATTTCCAGCGATACCTTCCAAGAATATATATTACCTCGTTTTAAAAAGTATCTTTTATTCGTGTCTATCGTAAAACGAGTTTCTACTATCTATCTTATTCGTAATCTAAATTATCTTTTCTCAAACTGATAAAGTTTTCTTTCATCCAATACGATTTATTCTATGTAATTTTCTTGTATTTTTCATGGTCAGTTTTCTGATGACTGACACGCGTCTCTTTAAGTGTACGACAACATGAGAGAGAGAGAGAGAGAGAGAGAGAGAGAGAGAGAGAGAGAGAGAGAGAGGGTTGAAATTAGGACACTATAATTATTAATCAATTTCACATTAATTGTTTTCTAGGCGTCTCGGGTTAAGTGGGATGTTGTGTTCTGGCTTCTGGCAAGCTCCTGGCAAGCGTAACCAGCTAAAGTGTCATACAAGAAGATTAATTACGTCGCAGTACCTTTTATGTATGTCACACCACTGACAGCCATTTTCTTTGATCGTTGCACGTATGTTCATATGTGTGATGATGATGATGACGAAGACGAAGAAGACGAACGAAATCGTCAAGTAAAAACCACTATCAACGAGAAACGAACGTGTTAAGAATACGAAAAAGAAAGTTGTAAGTTTGACTAACGTAGTGTTTTTATTTTTATTTTTTATAATTTAAACGATTAACAGTAAATCAACGATCAACGTTGTATTATAGTTTATTTATGAATCACCTGATTTGTTTATTTTTAACATTATGTCGAACATATGAATTTTTTTAAATGTTTTTAACATTGAATACACATACACACGCATACTACGAAACAATCACACTACATACTTCATTTTCATACAATTTATATGCAATTGCAAAAAGTATTGACTTAAAAAAAAATTTAATTAGAAAATAATCTCATAATAACGTATTTATTAATTAGATACTTACTACATATATTAATAATATATTTATTTATTACAAATAATATTTTTGTTATATTTTAATAACAATAAATACGTTAGAAAAATGATTATAAATTATAAATCATATTTTTTTTGTATAAAAAATAATTATTAAAAGTATAAAAATTATTATTTGTAATCATATAAGAAGACACTTTACGTACTCGTGTCCCCCCCCCCCCAAAATAAAAAAATAAAAAAACACATGAAAATAAAATGGAGTCACGCGAGAATGAGATTTTGCTTAGGTTAGAATATATTCCTGTTTTCGATCGTACGAAAAAAGCTAAGTTAGTTTTATTTTACAATTCATCGATCCCCTACGACACGATGGGGGTTGTGGAAGTTATATCGTAGCTTTTCGGAGACCGAACTTAGGTTAGGAAGAGAAGACTCTAAAGATATGGTAGTGGTAGTGGTGATGGTGATGGTGGTGGTGGTAGAATCCTTCAGGAGTCTCTTATAGAAAAGGGGAAGTAGTACATAAGGGTCGTGAACCTGTCAACTAGTGTTTTAAAAGTTTGTGACAGTCTACAAATTGACTCGCTCAGTTCTTTTTAAAAGCAGTACTAAGCTCGACCAATCAGAATGCATACTTTCACCCCTTCCCATATATAGATAGATACTACGTTGATTTTCCTTTTTTTTTCTTTCTTAAAAAATAAATTCGAAAATTACTTTTATGCAATTCTTAGACAAATCAATAATAATAATATTAATAACAATTTTTATAAATAATCCAAATAGAAATTACGTCGTAACATAAATCGAAATAAAAAAATTTTTTTAATCATTTAAAAAAAAGTTGACACACACAAAATTTTGTGACTCCTTTCTTTTTTTTATATACGAGATACATAACCTAATACTTTTATTCCTAAGTATTATATATGTATATATATATATATGTGTGTATATCGAAAGGTTGACAAAATTTTGGTCCCTTTTTTTATTTCTATGAGATACACGAGTATTCCCATCAGTAGTTCCCTCGCTTACTATGAATTCGAATATGCTTGCGTGAGATTTCAATCGGCTAAGTTTAAAAGTATTTCGACGTAAAGCGAAATCCATTTTTCATATTTCTCCTATGCAATGTTCACTCTCTTTCTCCCACCCTTTTCCCTATTTTCTTCTATCCCTTTAAGGTCGAGGGACTGCTACGTTTGATACACTCTATTAGTCACATCTTTCAACTGATTTATCGTTTTTCTCGTATTATTATACATTTTATATATATATATATTTTTTTTTATTTGTAAGGATATCTATTTTGATTTTATGAGAAAATGAAATATAAAATATGAATATAAAAAGAGAGAGAGAGAGAGAGAGAGTATGATATTTTCATTGATAGTAAAGAAAAATATCATCAATGATTATTACGAGTTTTAAACTTTCAAAAAATTATTATGAAAAATATCGTAAATTGTAATAGGAAAATAGAAAAAAAATATTAGTGATACGTTTGTTATTTGTTAATAAAAATGTCTTGTTTTATATTTCATTTTAAAAGATTTTTTTTTTTATGTACCCTGATGCAACCCTGACGTAACCGTGATCGAACTAAAGTAATAGTATATATATATTCAACGTGAGTTAATATAATCAAATAATTAACGCGTATGAAATGCAAAATAAAATTATATTTTATTATATTAAATCATGTGATTAGAAAAAGAGAGAGAGAAAAAAATGAAAAGCACGTATCCCGGTGTTTTCAATAAATAAAAAAAAAAAAAGCATAATTTATTTTCTTAATAGTTTCTAATAATATAAAAAGAAAAATTCAATGCAGTCTGTTTCTTATTTTTTTTTCATGCATACATCTCTCACCGAACAAAAGTATTTCAATAGTTTATTGTTGATGAACAATGAATAATAAAATACTAAATACTTTTGTTTAAGTTTCACGCAACGTTAGTTAAAGAATCATAAGAGGGTAAATCATTAAATTGTTGAAACGTTGATTGTTGATTAACTATAAGATTCGTTGAAACGTATGACGGTGTTTTAACTTGAATTTCGTTGATAAGATTTTCTGTTGTTGGTACTTCATTTTCAATTTGTTTTGACCATTCATTACGAGCATTTTCCACAATCATCCAGAAGTATATATTGAGTGCTAATAATTATTATTAATTATATATTATAATTAATCTTATTAATTAGGATATATATATACAATTTATATTACTTAGATGATTAACTATAGATTTAACTAAGACTTAATTATATATATATATAATTAATATATTATAATATTATAATATAATAAATAATAATATTTTATAATATAATATAATATAAAAAATATATAATAATATATATTATATATATATAAAATTAATATATT